TTCGCTCGAAAGCCTTAGAGACTTGGCGTAGATCATGGCAGTCAAGGCTGACTTGACACGCATACCAGTATCAAACGCCCTTTGGAAGTACTGGTGCAGACAAATGGTCTGTGTTACCGAGACCAAAAACATCGCCAGCGCGATGGCCACACCGCTGATCACCGGCTGAGGTTCATCAGTTCGATATGTTTTGATGAAGTCGATTAGGAGGCGCAAGAGTTGTGGCTGAACAAAGGCAAGTACGTCGCTTCCGCACTTGATGATTGCGCCGCGAAGGTACGGGCCACCGAACGATTTCATCAACGCCAGCCACAGAGACGGCTTGGACTTTTTCAACTCTTCGGCCCACTTTTCCTCCAATGTGTCCCCTGTGACACGCGTAGTGTCGCGCCGCCGCAGATTCCACAGATCATCCTGAGTGAGGTAATTTTTGTAGCCGAATTTCATCAACGGCGTCATCCAGCTGAAGGTGAGAACTGCGAAAATATCTGCGTACTCGTACGGACATTCATCCTCATCACCCAAGGCATCGTACGCACTTTGTTTTTTCGGTACCAGGTATTCGAGTCCAAATTCCAACAGCGCCAGACCGAGGCTAACGTTGATGCAAACAAAGTATGGGAGTTGATCCTCATAAGCCTTTTGTGAGACCAGCGATCGCAATTTGATGCCGTAAGCGATGGTAAAGAAGAGCCAGTAGAATAGGACAACGCCGTTGGGCTGTCTGCTGCGCCAGTGCTCGTAATATTGTACCGCAAATATTACACCAAGAGACGCGAACACCAGGATAGAACTCCAGAAGCGAAAATCAAGCAAAAAGAGATGAGGAGCGGATTCGGCTTGGATGGCGGCTTGTAGAGCGGTCGTGAAGATCAGGGCGCCCAGCACAATCTATGAGCGAGGAATGCGAATGTTAGATAGCGACTGGGCCCGGACGGTCGAAAACTCCCTCCAGAGAAGACTTACCAGTTTAGCATAGAAGTGCCAATTTTTTGAAACGGGCTGAGGCGCACGCTTCTTCAACAAGAACCAAATGGCACCTGCTCCCATGAGCAAGCCCCATCCTGCACCCAGAGCTACTCCAAAATCCAGGAAACATGGTGTAAGATCGAATCTGTATTTGCTTATTGGACCCCAACCCTCGACATCACCACAAAAAGGTTGAAGCTTTTTCGAGGAATCGAACGGAGAGTCCAAATTCGACGATGATGAAAGTGGTCCGGGATGGGAAATCCCTAGGAGCACCTGGGGGTTGCCATCAAGCATCTTGGTATCCGGACAAACGACCCCAACTCCAAAGATCCCTGAACCGTCTGGCAACGGAAAAGGGGAGGGAAATAACTGAGAATAAGTACTCAGGATACCAGACTTCAAATACGAGACTGGCTGATTTTCTCTGAGGGCGCAAGGAGATTATTTCGAGGCGATAAGTGACTAGCTGCAGCTTGATTACTAAAGCTTCGTCGCTGATGCCTTCGTGCCGGGATCTCGGAAATAGTCTCAGTTCGATGCTGCACGCCTGGAATAGCTGATAAATCAAATCAATGATTGAGGCAAGAATATTCAATGGGTATCTCGGGATTGAAAATATGTACAGCTCTATTTCCACTTCACCAACCTCGAAGTTCCCAAACGTTCAGCATATCCTCACTGTTGCCATTCAATGATGACATAACCCCGTCGTGGTTAACTCCGAAGAGGAAAACTACCTAGAACCGACAGTTCGGGAAATGTCTTGGCATGACCATTTCCTCACCTTCCCCATCAATCAGGATCAGGAGTCAACTTTGAGGATGAACTATTGGCGCTTAAGAGCTAAGTTGGTATTCCCTTGTCTCGGAGACGAGCATACTCAAGATAGCTAGACAGACCGAGTCAAGCTGTTTCAAACTCGCAGCTATCAAGAATGAGCCTTTATCTACAATAATCATCTACAAATAACCTCTGAATCTTGGGAAATCCTTGATGATGTAATGCGTCGCAAATTGAGGCTTCACGTGGGATCCACCGATCTTGAATTGTTGATCTCTGTACTACATTTTATCACGCTATGGCGATGATCAGATCGCAGTTTGACCTTCTTCTGAGGGATTGGAAGTCTGCGTCCATAGTTGACGTAGGAAATCAGATGATACCATAACGATGTACTGTCGAACATGATCTACGCACTCGATTTCATTCATAAGCTAAGCGCAATTGCAAGGGAGAAACGGTCGAATGATTCGGTATCATGAGTTCATTAGCTTCCCAATCACAACTAGGTAGTATGGTGCCTGTGTAGCCACTTCCCTGCGCTATATAATAGATTTTCCATAATTGTAGCCGTGTACCGACCTGGCTATTGTGTAATCATAGCAATTTACTCTGTCGGTCACCTATTGCCATATCGGGTCCCCGCTTGAGCTACATGTTACGACTACTGCGCTACTCAGCCACTATGACTCAGTCCCATTTGTGATTCAGTAAGCAGAGCAAAATGATTGACCGGAAACTTCTAGAGCTCTTTCATCAAAAAAGATGTGTGAAGATCTTCTTAAAATCATAATACAGGTTGCAGCATTCTCATAATCGTAGCCCCACGAGAAGGCGGTACGCTTCTTATCCTCTCGGAGGGTCACACAGTTCGCCGCAACGCTTTGCGTTTCCGCGATCGGACCTACACTGTGATAATCTACCTGACAACGCGATGGTCGCAGATACTCCTTTGGTCGAAGAGTTGTTGAAAAAACCTCTATATGGTGAGCGCTTTCTTTTCATGTTCATCTAGACTACGTGTGCGCATAGCTGACCCTTCCATTAGTATATGATCTTCCTCAGGAACTTCTTTCGACTTTAGCCACCAAGGGCGAGGACCAATCCATAGCTGTCGAAGAAAATGTCGAACCCTCTCGAGAACCGCTCGATCTATCCACACTAGACCCTATGATTGCGACTTCCACATCTTGCGCCCTTTGCAAAGTCTCCTTTTTGAATGTACAAGAACAACGAGAACACGTTCGGTCGGACCACCACAGATTCAACGTCAAAGCACAATCTAGAGGCAACCCTACTTTAGACGAGGCACAGTTCGCTAAAGCGGTTGGAGATCTGGATGAGTCGATATCCGGCTCCGAGTCGTCAGAAGAGGAAGACGATGAAGAGGATGGACAGCTCTCGGCCTTGCTGAAAAGGCAGGCCAGGATAGCCCAGGCAGCTGAAGACGCGGAGGGATCAGCAAATAAAAGGCCGGCTGGCAAGAACCCTCTTTACTGGTTTTCAAGCTCTCTGTTGCCATCCAACACATCACTAGGTGTTTATAGAGCTTTGTTCTCGAATGTCGAACAAGATGAGCCTAAACACCTCGTTGATTCGTTGCGAAAGAAGCAACTATCACCGCTAAGCACACAAAGACCGAATGCACAACCACAAGCGAATGGAACCACATACAGTCCTCATATCTTCATGTGCATGATAGGAGGTGGCCATTTCGCTGCCATGTTGGTCTCTCTGGCCCCCGAAATTCATCGCAAACAAGGTGGCGTTGAGGAACGGCAGGCCCGCGTCATCGCCCACAAGTCATTTCACCGCTATACAACCAGACGGAAGCAGGGTGGTTCTCAATCTGCTAGTGACGCCGCTCGAGGAGCCGCACATTCGGCGGGTTCCAGCCTTCGACGGTATAACGAGGCTGCCTTGGAGAAGGAGATCAGGGAGCTCCTGAGAGACTGGAAGCAGATGATCGATGATGCGCAACTGTTGTTCGTCCGAGCGACTGGCAATACCAACCGAAAGATCCTGTTTGGTCACTATGAGGGTCAATTCCTGAAACAGAATGATCCCAGAATAAGAGGGTTCCCATTCAGCACTCGTCGAGCCACGCAAGACGAGCTTATGAGATGCTTCAAAGAACTTACGCGGGTCAAAGTCAGCCAGGTCGATGAAGCAGCCCTTGCAGCAGCAGAGGCAAAACAGCGGGCAGAAGCGGTCAAGCCTCCAACACCACGACCGCAGCAACAGAAGCCCAAGGTGTCCAAGGAAGAGGAGGAAGCTATCCTGCATACATCTCAGATTCAAGCCCTGATTCGACGGTCTAAAATACCAGCTTTGATGTCCTATCTCTCCAGAAACTCTATACCTCCATCTTTCGCATTCCGCCCATCGGATTCTCCGCAGAACTTCCGCTGTCCCACTCCCTTGCATTTTGCAGCAAACTTGGACTCCCCATCGGTAGTTTCGGCCCTCCTTACAAAGACCGAGGCTGATCCAACGATTGTCAACGGCGAAGGAAGAACTGCTTTCGAGCTTGCTGGTGACCGGGCTACCCGTGATGCATTCCGCATTGCACGTCACGAACTGGGGGAGTCAAAATGGAACTGGGACGCTGCCAAGGTCCCAACGGCGGTATCCAAGCAGGAAGTGGATAGTCGCGCAGAAAGGGAGCGCAAAGCTGCAGAGGAGGAAGAGTCAAAGAGGCGAAAGACCGAATTAGAGCGATTAAAGAACGAGGAAGCTGCTAGAGCAGCCTCACTGCAAGAATCGAGAAAAGCGGGAGGTCGAGCATTGGGAGCAATGGAAAAGACAGCATCTGAAAAGAGAGAAGAAGAAATGAGGGGAATGACACCGGAGATGAGGATGAGATTGGAGAGAGAGCGGCGCGCTAGAGCAGCTGAGGAACGCATTCGAAGGATGCAAGGAAAGTAATCGGTGAGATGTGTCAACACTTGATGAATTGACAGTGTGCGAACATTGATGTCCTATACGAAATAGAATTGAATGAAATGAAGCTGGAATGGATGATGTCTTGCTTGTGACTTTTCGACGCGCAGACTTGGCCAGTGACTTTCGTAATATGGCATACAGCACCTGACTTTTAATTTGAGGTGCTATGAGCTGCTTAAGACTCCTGAACCTCTTGACAGCGACAAGCCCACCGTCATCATTAGTCTTGCATGATCACAATCGTTTTTTCCGCATTCAGAGCTGTCAATATCTCCTTACCATTCTCATCTCTACTTTGTATAATGTCTGAGCACCAGCCCTCCCGTCCAGGCTGTTATGTCGGTACACTTCTCGAAGTGGACCCACGGACTGGAAAGACAAGTAACCCATTGAATATATCCAGCAATAACGAGATATACGTCGGTCGAGACCAGAAACGATGGTATGAAGACTCTCTTTCTATGAATCCTTCAATGCTAATTGGAATAACAGCCAATACATTGTAGACGATCCATTCATCTCAAACCGACACCTCCGAATCTACACCATCATCTTCGACCAAGAGAATCCCGACGAAGTCGCGCCGTTAGTATACGCTCAGGATATCTCGCTGAACGGCACGTCGTGGAACAACTATCCCATGGGAAAGGGAAATGGCAGCTTTCTCCTGAGTGACGGCGATATTCTGGAACTGTCCCCGAGGTTCCACCTTTTGTACCGGCGTGACGGTCACAGAGAAGAGGATCACTTTGATGTGCTGCAGAGAGTCGAGATGAGGGTGGGTCCTTATTTTCTGCTACATGTTGAACGCAAGCTGATGGCATGTAGGTTTTCGAGGATCAGTATAAGATTACACAGCGTAAATTAGGATCCGGCGCGTATGGGCAGGTGCATATGGCGTTCAACAAAGAGACTGGTCAGCAGCTTGCATGCAAGATCGTTGATCTCCGGACTTTGAAAGACAGGGTTATTGAAGAGTTTGACGGTCAAAGATCCAGGTTCTTTGAGATGGATACGGACCGCGTAGTTGCGGCGCGTGAACACAATGGGTACATCGCAAGGAAAATCGAGGAGAAACTCGAAATATATAACAGGGAAGCCAGAATCCTGGCAAGGCTCTGCCACGTAGGTATTGCTCAAATCTCATCAGAAGGGCACTAACGGACAACCAAAGCCGAATATTATTCGAGTGGAAAAGGTGATCCGATCAAGCAATACAATGTGAGAAGAGCCTTTTTTAAGATTCAAAGCTCGCACTAACAGAAGAAAGATATCTTTTCCAGGACCTCGTGACTGCTGGAGATTTGTTCTCGTTCATCCAATACAAAGGTGGAAAGCTCGGTGACATTGAAGCCGCCGTGATCGTGAGACAGGTTCTGATGGCCCTGGACTACCTCCATGAACAGAATATTGTTCATAGAGACCTGAAGCCGGACAACATTCTCATGACGTCCCTGGCGGATGGGAGCAGAGTGGTGCTTACTGACTTTGGATGTGCGAAGTTGGTACAGCCTCGGATTGAAAGAATGTCCACAAAAATCGGCACGTATGACTACAGTGCACCGTAAGTGCAACTCAGGCTTCCATTCTTTGATATACTGACTCTAGTGTTAGCGAAGTCCTTCGATCCAGCCGACAAGGCTATACAAAAGCCGTAGATCTGTGGTCCCTGGGTTGTGTGACGACAGTGCTTCTGACTGGGGAACCTCCTTTCAGCACTCCCTCGCCCAAGCAGGAAATCAGCCAGGACAATCGACAGGGTTCCCTCGACAACCTCGAGGCGAATTTGACCTGGAATAAGATTGGCAAGCGGGCGAAAGACTTTGTTCTTCGTCTCCTTGTCTTTGATGAGACAGAGCGCATGGATGTGAAGCAAGCATTGGATCATTGTTGGTTCACCAACCCTGCTCATAAAGAGGCTTTCGAAGCGCTCTACAAGCGATCAATTAGGGACTGGAAGCCTCGAACGCCGAAGGAGCCACTGATGGTCGATCTCCGTGATCTGATCCAAGCCCGCAAGACGAATGGAGATGTAGTTCAGATCCAACATCCTCAAGAGGTTTTTCCAAATGAGTCTTTTGGATCAGCTCTTCCAAGGCCAAGGGTCGTCTCTCAAGAGACGACATTAAAGGAATCACCATCGCCTGAACAACACAGAGATCTCTCTCCGACACTTTCTGACCCTGACCTACCGCCACACGGCCAACTAGGCAAAAACCCATATCGACTCCATGATCTAGAAAACGACACCGCCCAGATTGACTCAGAAGTAAGGAAGCTCAATTCTTCCGAGCAAAGCCTGGAGACTTCAGAGCAATATGAAGTACTCAGAGGTGAAAGCGGGCAGTTCAACCAGTATGAGTGGGCAATTCCATCTGTTACATGTATCTCGGATCTCTCGAAGGCCAATACTGCACTCTTGAAGGGTATCAACAATTGCCCAACAGGAAAGAAGAGTGCTCAGAACACAGGGGAGGAATTCGAGAATGAGGTCTACGAGGAGGTCAGAAATAGTATCACCGGGAAGCGGCAGCACTTGATATATGGCACGAACATCGTCAAAAACTGGATTTGACTCAATTCGGCGAGCGCCAGGCACAGACCAATCTAAGATTAGCTGCAACGAAGCTTGAGATTGACCATAATCTAGATAAGTTCAAAAAGACCAAGACACAGTTTGGACACCTCAGGCAGACTAAGTCGACAACAACAGCTTCTACAATGCAAGACCCGCAGTAGGAAGTAGTAGAGTGCCTCTTTCCACCGCTTATCGCTCCCTTTACCGCCCCGTGAGTGAATGTGCGTTGAGTAAAACAAAGAACCACGATTAGTAGGAAAGCCATTGCTCACGAGCTGCTGATACAAAGGAATATCGATGGTCGCCTGACCACGACGCTCCTTTACCTTGCGCATTCTGACGTACTAGTTGCTCCCTCGAAAGCTTTCCAGTGTAGGAGACTGAGACCCTTTGGACCAAAGATTTTCTGACAGTAGGGATGATTAGGGGGTGGGACAGATCTCAGCTCAGGTCAGAAGGCGTCATCTTTGTTACCACCCGGAAAATAGAATAAAGGATTTGCGCAAGACTCGATTGGACCAACCACGTATAGGCATGATACTGAGCCATGAGCTGTAGTCAACGAATAGTGCTGTGTCATACGTGCGCTGATCGAAAATATGCAACGCAGTTCTCAAGGAGTTGCGAATGTTGCCATGACAGTCGAGACAACCTCAGTATGTCAGTAGCCAAGACTCAATGGGACTGCGGCGCGTCACTGCATGTCTTGCATCCTCGTGTTTGCGGAATGTTGATCATATCCCACGGCGAGTTGAGTTGTACCATTGTTCATTGGCGGACTAGTATCGATCCCTTGCATGTGTCGAGCCCGCCGAAGGCTGGGACTCGTTTGTCCGGACTACCGGAGGTTACAATTCCGCTAGCTGCCACTCTCGACCCTGCTCAGAGTTCTGTCTCGGTTGCCTGTTGATGTAAGCCCATGATGCGTAAATCAGGTCAATATTGCTCATTGAAAAGGGCAGCACAGGATGTTTCACGCCCTGTGCTCCTTTCGTAGACTGGGTCCTTGAGGATGCACGAAGCTCTTTGTCAAGGACCGCCATACTGAAGGGACATGTCGTTGTCGTGGCAGACAGATCTCAAAGAAATTCAAGCGTATGGCTTTGAGCTAAGCATGATGTATGCCCGAGAACCGTGAGAATAAGGCACCCCGAGCCGCAAGATGATGCACTGTGGCCGCCAAAGGACCAGGCAGCCGCAAGAGCATATCTTCGCATCAGGCTAGATCAAGCAAGGTCATTGACACCCATGCATGATCGACTTAGCAGAGACAGGATGTCCCTGGATTCAATCGAGCAAAGCCTGGCTGTCTATGTCTGGTGAAACATAAGGCTGAAGGGACAAAGGAGGAAGTCTCCGCCAGTGCCGCCACAGAGAGGAACTTTGTCACCTGACCGGAATGTATTCAGTCTCAAAGCTCCTAAAGTGAAGGTTTCTCCACGAGCAAGAATGTGAAGGTCTCGGAGAAGCAAGGGACAAGGGCGGGACGCCGGGATGGTGGGTTGATGGCTTGATGCTATCGCGGTCCCTATCGATATCACTGATAAGATGGGATGATAGGGAGGGTTTTCGGAATCGGTACCCTTGCAGTTCGGCAGGGACTGATGAAAGTTTCTGGTACTACTCCGTAGAGCAAGAAGGGAAGTTTCAGGTTTCCATCATAAGTTCATAACTCATTGTCTTCATATCGACTAACTTGAAGTGGAATCGCGGCCGGGATCTTCAGGCATCACGCACACCAAGTGCGTGCGTCCTAAGGTGTCAATGTTTCTCTGATTGGTCGACGCGAGAACGCGAGTTGTACGCGTATTGACGCGACCCGTGTCGTGTCTGTAATATTACCTGATTGGGAAGACATCGCGATCACCACGGATGAATTCTGTCTATGAGCCACCAGAATTGGGAGAAGGAAGAGGATCTTTGTGGATGATGAATGAGTTGAGATTGAGCAAGTCTACAGGACTTAGGATAGTCTTTAATACTTTTGTTGGAGAGGACTGGGATGACCCGTAGGATGGTATCCTAGAGGGAGAGAATGGAGGGACAATGTTCCTTGAGAACCAGAACAAGGGCATTCAGAGACAGACGTTCTCCTCCTGGTAGCTTCTATCAAAGGTGATTTCATCGAGTAGAGAACCCTTTGGAATGTGTTTTTCTAACCGTCTTAGTCCGTAGCCTCATCTTAAGATACGCTAGTATAATGTCAAAATGACCAACAGAGCATGCACATGCAGCTGCACATGCAATGCTCCCCCGATCCTTCCGAGCCGCTCAGGCCAGAAAGCAATGACTTCATGGCGTGTTACCGGATGAAACGTTGTCAATGGGAGATCTGGCTCGTTGCTGGGGACTATGATGCAAGGTCTAACTTTCATATGGCGCATCCCTCTCTCCCTCGTGTCTCAGTTGGAGTCGACGGGAACGAGAGTGCATGTAGACAGGGATTGTAGATCAGACAGAGTAGTTCATGGATGTGGTCAAGTAGCGTCAATTCAGACGAGACGAGGGAAATAAGACGGGGTCTCCCCCCTGATGAGGAGACATCAAGGGACGGAAAGCGAACTAAGAGAAGAGGGAGAGCGAGAGAGGACCGAGTCTTTGTCCTTTCAGACACTGCCTCATCTTCTTTCAACTAATTCTGCACCGAAAATAAAGTATTTGAGGATTCTGCAGACTCTTCTTTATTTATTATTGGAAAAATATCCTATAATTATCCACAGCGTATTTGAAGGTTTCCAAAGTTATATCATATCATATATGATCCATGTCATTTCCCTCTATATTTTAGCTTATCGCCGCTTGCGGAACTCCACTGCTCAGTGACTGTCCCTCCTTTCCCACCGGATTCCATTCTCCCCCCCAAATTTTAATTATCGCTGCATTATTATTATTATTTCCACCACCTCAACTCCCACAAGTCTCCTCATCCTCCATCATTATTCCATCCACCACGTCAATCGCATATCTCGGAATCTATTCCATTCAACAGCGCTCATTTCAAAATCTACCCTCCGCTCATTTTGATTTTCAAATCGCGTTTTACTGCCGACTAGACCTCCGCCGGCGCAAAACACTGCGCGCCTGGCGCATTCCTCTGGCGCGCACACACAAAGTCATTGCCTTCATTCAGCACCACGACTATCAGATCTATCAATACAATCCTTCATTCCGTGTCGCTTGCGACATTTGATATCCGACAGCGCAACCATGTTGCTCCCTTCTGCGCTTCCCTGCGACGTGCGACGCCCCTCAACCCGGTCGCGCTTCACACCCAACCGCCTCTTCTCAACGCCTCCCCCGTCCGACGGTGACTTCTTTCCATCAAGCAACGGTCTACTAGGAACTTGTCGCGCCCTTCAATCTCTTCTCAGTGGCTCTCCCGCACCTTCTTCGCGACGAGCCAAACCAGAACGTCTCCAGAGTCCCTTCCACCTCACATCTTCCACATCCTCCACATCCTCCACCCGGCCGCGAAAGCCAAAGACGCAACCGCGCTCTGGACCTTCCTCTCCTAAACCATCACCCAGACCCTCTTGCGGCGCAAACAAGCGCACACGCGCCAGCTACGAAGCCGACAGCGATGCAGACTCAGAAGCCCACACTCCGCGCGCTCGACTTTCCACCCCAAAGCGTCGACGTTACGTTCCCTACGATCTCCCCCTGGGTCTATCGCAATCGGACTTTTACTCTCTGAATTCACCACCAATCACACAGTCGCCGCCCTCTCCCGTGCAGCGACGACAGCAAGAGCTTTGCGACGAGGTGCGCGCACCGCTGCCGCCGTCGCCGTCGCCCTCCTCGCAGTCGCAGTTTGATCCCGACGCAGCGCTACCGTCCATTGAAGAATCAGGGCCAGAATCTTGGACCTCAGAAGATGACCGGCAACTTGTGGAGGTTGTCCTAGAGAAATTCCAGCTCTCCAAGCGCGACTGGGACGAGTGCGCGCGCCGACTCGGCAAGGATCAGGATAGCGTTGGGCGCAGGTGGCAGGCGCTCGTTGGAGAGGGGAATGTGGGATTGCGACGGGGACGGCGGATGGTCCGTGGTCGAATCGATGAGAGTTGGCTGTAACTGCTCTCTCTTTTCTCGCCTTCGACTTTTTTTGCCACGACGCGATTGACTGATATTGAACTTGATACCTGACTCATGGATATACTTTTCGTTTGTCCTAAGTGCGATGTACTTTTACGACTTCCGTTCGACTTATTACTTTCGACCACGTGTTTTACAGCAGTGGTTTGTATTATTTATTATCTTTTGGTTCTTCGGCGTTTGGTTCTATGCAACCGTCGCGAATTGTCTGGTGGCTTTTGACTGTGATATATCTTATCTATATATTTATGTCCTTGTATATTATCATCGAACATTTTGTATCATCATCTGATGTCATTCCGTTGTGTTACCAGGACTTGTGACCTTTTGTTTGTTCTTTATGCGGTGCGCTCTTTGTCCCGCCTCACGGTATAATGCATTGTTCCCGGAATAAACGACTCGGGTTTATATCAGAAAGTCTATTATCATATTTGTAGGAGGACTTGAACTAAATAATACAGAAAATACTGATGTTAGTGATGAAACGATCCGAACGCCAAACACCCAGCTCAATGATCGTAGCGAAGATGACGGGAATGCAGACGATGCACTAGAATCTGCGAGGTCGTTAGTCATGGACAAGGGAGCCATGGAGGGAATGTACCTGATCTCGTAACTGCCCGCACGAGTCATATACCGCACCCACTTGACACTACTATAGTTGCTCTTCTCAAACACCTTGAGATACCGCACCAGCAACCCACTACTGGTAAACATCAACAGGCTAAACGACAGACTCAGCGGCGGCCGGCTCCACGCCTTCTGGTTCGTCATGCTCGTCAGCGTCGCCTCGGCCGTAAGCACGTACTCGCTGCCCCCGGAAAACCGCGCAATCTTCCAGACGATATTGTTATGCTCGGGCTCGTACTTTGCGCGCCCCTGGCTCGTCCGCTCGGTCGTCTTGGCCGTGTTCAGCGGCGTCGGGATGCGCACGACCACGTTCGTCGCGAACAGCTTCGAGCTGTAGTTCGCCTTGATGGCGACGCTGTACTCGACTTTCGTGGTGCCGATCTCGCGCACGATCGGGTGCACCTTGAAGGGGAGGTTGACGTTCTCCGTGGCCCGGTACCGCATCAGCTCGAACTCGCCGTCCGGCGGCACAAACGAGATGATCCGGTCCGCGTCGAAGCGGCCCAGTTTCACGCACTGGTGGAACTGGCAGTCTTCCAGGGTGACGGAGCCGGCGGCCGCGCGGGTCGCTTTGCTGCCGGAGGGGGCCTGCGAGGAGGACGAGGACGAGCGTGCGCCGCCGCCGCCGCCGCCGTCGCCGTCGAGGAGGAGGCGGTCGTTCAGCCCGAACTTGCACTCCGGGGTGCCGGTGAGGTAGGCGCGCATGACGATCTGGCCGGTGACGTCGGCGCGGAGCACGGTGCCCGTCGCGGACATGAGCAGGTTCACGTCCTCGATTACGTCCACGAAGGCTTCGTTCTTGCGGTACTTGACGTCTGCGCGGCGCCAGGAGAGCGCGCCTGTCGCTTGCATTGTGATCCGGCTCGAGTCTGTCGGGTTGTTGGCGATGGCCGACTTGACGCCCTCCGTTGTGATGTACATCTTCAGTGTGTCCGAGTCGGTGTTTTGGGGATAACCAAAGTCGAGGATTTCTGCAGAGAAACGGTTATCCACCGCTCAGCCGCCTGTACCGCTGAACTCCGTTTGGAATGGTAGTACTCACCATCCAGCAACTCATAAATCAAAACAAAGTTGTTCTTGACGGCCTCCTCGTCAAATTTCCCAAAGTAGCTCTTCCCCAGCGACACTAGCCGGTACAGAAACTCAAACACCAATGCCGCGTTGGCATTGCTCTTGGTCACCGCCACCAGGTAGATATTCTCGTGCTTGACATGGCTGAACGTCGTCGATCCCAGTGTCAGAATGGGCGAGCGCACTTGGGGGTTGGAGATGACTTGAATGCGGAAGATGTCGGCCAGGCGCGGACGGCAGTCATTGCGAAAGGCGCGGAAGATGAGGTTCTCGCCTTTTTGGTTGAAGACGAGAATGCCGGAGAGCATTTTGAGATATGGGAGTTACTGGAAGGGGGAAAGGAGGGCGTCGGGATGGGGGCCCTGGCAGAAGGGGATCTTGCCGGAGAAGCTCTCAGGATAAATTGGGGCCGGAGGTGGGGGAAGTCGGTCAGTTTAGTCCAGAACAATTCTACCAAGCAAATACTAATATGGATCAGTCAAGCCTCAAGACAATCATTTCACAAAATTACTGCCAAGTCTTACAATGTTATTAGCAAGTATTTACATTTAAAATGCGGACGCTCAGTCGACGGATTGCTGCACGTAAATTTGGCAGCTTAAGATACAAGACCCTAAGTACAAAGTAGTATACAAGTCACAGGTACAGCAGAGAGAATTGGACACAGCGGTGAACATGCATATGAACAGATCGGTACGTCCTCTGCAACGAGTTCAATCTCTAAAGAAAACATATGGTATCGAAGAGTCTGGGATTGCGGGCGTGGATATCATGAAGATGACAAGATCCAATAAGTGAAAGCCAAATAGTTCCGAATTCGCCTCCAAACCCGCTAGATATCAAGCACAACGGCCGTTGCAGGAGTAAACAAGAATTAAAAGGGGTATAAAGTTATTAAAGTAAGAGGAAAGAGAAAGAAGGCAAGGTCCCAGACGACAATGCACCTGACTTGTTGCAGCCTAGAATCCACGCCCAACGCCACTGCTTGGTCTCGTCCCCGGCAGTGACGCGCCCTCGCTGTGGATGATGCCAACCTTGGGATCCGGGATTTGGATGTCCAAGGACATGTATGCCGTCCGTCGCAGACTCCATATATGTACCCCATCCTTCGCGCCGATCTCGCGATTCCACTTGTCAAGCCAAGCCTCCACCCGTTGCAGATGGCTTTTGATACCAGGGGCACCGATATCCTCCCACAACCAACCCGTGACCAGACCCAGCGCACCATCAACCAGATTGCGGAAACTGAACGGATCAAAGGCCTTGATGAGTTCCTCATTCACCGTCGCAATCACGCGGCGAAACTCCTGTTCCGGTAGTAACGGGTCGAGAATCTCAGGATAGAGATTCGAGAACGTCGGCGCCAAATCCCCCTTCACCATCCAATCGCGTCGTATTCGAATAATTCGAGTCGTGAGGTACTCTTGCGACCCGATGGGAACATGTGGATTGACATGAGGGTAGCAAGGATGCGCGGGGCCCCATGCCAACTCCTCGGCGACTTCAGCCTCTCCGCTGGCCGGTGGTGCACCCGTGTTTGATGGAATCGAGGCGATTTGCGATTGTGATCGCAGGGAAACCTGCGACTGTATATGGCGCGGGTGATCCCCATGCAACGAGCCCTGTCGATCAACGAGTGTATCCTGGGCTAGATGGGCCCGTTCGGGCGGCCGAAGGTCTTTTCCCTCTTGAGAACCATTGTTGCTGTGTTCCGCCTGTTCGGACATCTCCTGCAGAGCGAAATGGCGGTCGAAAGTGCCACTGCGCCTCTGCCCTCGAGGCACTGCGATGCTGGAGCGCCCACTCTCGGTCTCGCCTTGACTGCGCTCTACTACCAAGCTAGTTGGGGTTTGCGATAACCGACTGCGGCGTCGTTCAGGGATAGTCAGAAGCGGATACGCGTCTCGGTGAGCTTCCAGCGGCAGGTGCTCGTCGGAGATCTGCAGCGGATGCGGGACAGTGACCGGGGTAATTCGGGGTACGTAATTGACTGGGTTAGCGAGTCGGACAGCGGGGGGTCGGAGTATGGTAGTGGTGAGGAATGAATGCGGCCGTCTTTGGAATTGTTTTTGTCGAAGGGAGGGTTTCTTCGGGCTGTTCCGGGTGGGATATTCTGTAAACGGTGATAAGTATGATGAGGCACGACGGTCGGACTCGAGGGAATGGTGCGTATGATGGCGGTGGGGGCGAGGAGTGGAATTCTCTTCAGCCTCGGACGATGATAGTATGTGCGAGTGTTCCCAGGCCGCTGAAGACGCCGTTTTTGGAACAAGGGCTGGGCCACCGGACGATAGGGGTAGAGGAGCGGACGAAATGGCCGTCGCAATGGCTTAAGGGGTGGCCTGGATACTACAACTAGCGATAGTAGTAGTAATACTAATAGGGATGATGATGGAGGAGGAGAAGAGAAAGGCAGGCGGTGGTGCAGTCGAGGGGTGGAGGCAACAGTGAAGGCTGTTATTGTTATTGGCGGAGAAGACTCAGAAAGGGGCGAGTCAGGGGACATGGAAGGCCCGAGCAGAGCGCAATGACATCGACCCGGTAGTCACGCCTCTGGTCGATGTCGATGTCGATGTCGATGTTTGATGCTCAGGATGATGGTGGTGAAGTGCGAGAGTCAGTGAGAAGAGATGGATTGATCTGATCTGATATTGAATTGATTCAAACGGCTCTGCGTACGTTCTCAGTGGGTTGGTTGTCAGTCAAGCAGGGCTCCGTCTCAATTGCAGTGGTTCTATCGACAAGGCCGCACAATCAGAGAAAAAATAAAAAGGAAGAGAAAAGAGAGATAAAGAAGAGAACATGCGAAGACGCGACAATTGATATAGGACGAAAGTTAAGGACAAAAGGTGGATAGTCAATAATGACGAAGATGATCCAATAGCCCAAGTAAGGCTCAAGATTCGCCTCGATTTTTTTTCCATCCTCCAAGAAAACCTTAGTCTTTCCTGTATAAAGAAAGCTTCAAGGGTATGACGCTATGTACGTACTTTGTACTCCAGGAAATCGACGCTGACAACCTCTTATAATTGATTATGAATCCATTGGCTGGACATGGGGACGTGGATGGCTGTTTCATCTACACCTGTCAACGTCTCAGATTACAATAGGAGCCACTCGTCACAGTCTTGCAGTCATGTCTACATTTAACTATCCCATGATGTAGAATCTGAGTAGGGAAAATATACAGCTTCAGTAAACTTGGCAGTTTATCCATCACCATCACGGACTGTTTCCTGCCCTAAGCCCCTGGATTTGCTGCTATATTTGTCTGCCGGATCGCTCGGCCAGATCGACTATTCTTTGCCTATCTCTCTAGTCTGAGGAGTCCAGATCCTCCAGGATGCACTAGGATATCCGAATAATGGGACTTTCCAGGTAACCGTCTCTCACTTTGATTCGTGGAACAGATTTAAGGAGACGCTTTCTAAGGATTATAGGAAGCCAGGATCATTGCCTTGAAACTAAACATTATCTATTTACTAGAGACGTCAAGCTTGTCCGTAAAACATGTGTGAAGCTGAAACATCAGGTCTAGAATGCGCGTCTGTACGGAGTCTACCCCGGAGTATCCGGGATCATCTCTATGTATGTGAAAGTGCAGTGTTACCGCCCATTCATGCTTTGATTCGCCTTGGCTTGCATGCGTCGCATGGCTTCTCGATGCAACTCACTCATATCCCCACGCTGCATCCCCTCGGCTATTGCCCTGTCGAGATTGACTTTCAGGGATGAAGAATTCCGCCCCGGTGGCCCAAAAGGAAATGAACCGTGAGGGCCAACACCGGTCCCACCAATTGGAAGATCTTGTTTCGCCAAGGGGTTGCGTTTGTCCTTCAGGTCTTCCCGAATAGATTCTCTCCACGCAGCCATGACCGCTTGAGCATTTCCGGGCCTCGATACGCTCGATTGACCCAATTTCGGCGTTGAGGCTGGCACGCTTGTGTGCGGGCTCTGGACTTTTTGTTGATGTAGCATTGCACGGCGACGAGAGAGGGGCACGTCATCACCTGATTCCGGAAATGAAGTCGTCGGGGAAATCTGGACCGAAGTATCCAATGCCAGGGACTGCCTAGGGCTATTCCGCGACGCCCACGGATCGAGACTGAGACAAGTAGACGAAACCCGACTTCGCATCATACCTTCTCGCACTGCAAGGAGTGGAGGCGGCCCTTTCCACCTCGGTTTGGTGAGCTCAGGGCCCCCTTGAGGCTGTTCAGTAGGGATGGGTGAGATGGGGTCGCCTGGGACAGCATTATGCTCGGCGCCGTAGAACACCGGACTTGGGAGAGCGCTGGTGGAGGATAAGACGATTGTGGAAGGGACCCCTGAAGACCTGTCAACTGGTTGAGGTTCTCCAACTCTTGGTAGGTTGATAGCCGAAGTTGTGCGCGGTGTGTAGTCGTTAGATATTCGATGAAGGTCGTTTGCGCTCTGCTGCTCTTTTCCGGCGTTGGCACGCAAATCGGCAGCAGGTGGTCGCTGTGCAGTGAGAGGTGTTTGCAACAACTCCTCAACATTGACAGGGGCAGGGACCTCCCCAGCGTCGATAGGACTTTCCGCCGATTCATTTGTGATGGGCTCGATAGGTTCTGGCTCGGGAATTTCTGCATCACAGAGATGCTTGGCCCATTCATTCGTGCGATAGGTCTGGACTACCCTCGATGTTCGCTCCGGAATACGTTTCACTGTTTTGGCGTCCAGTTTGGGCTTCTCTGTTTTTCGTTTACTCTTTAGTTTGGAATGCGATGACGAGGATTGCTGCCTCTCGGATTCATCGCCGATGTGGCTTTGACGATTCTCTGTTTCTAGTGGCGCCTTCAATGAGCTATGTTCTCGTGACTCTCGAAGGTTCTGCTCCTCCGAGTGGCTAGTTTTCGTATTTTCTTCTGGCGAATTTCCGCCATTGCAGTCTCCAGTCTCGGCTGTGGCGTTTGTCTGTGAATCTTTGGGGGTCTCTAAAGACTGGCGTTGTGTTCTCTCAGAGACCTCTTCGGTTTGTGCATTGGCTCGAGAAGGCAATGGTGGACATCCTTCACCAGCTTGCGTTGTCGGCTGTTCGTCCTCTGTCTTCTTGCCATCGGGCTGAGGCTCAAGTCCTTGCAAACTTCCCCCAATGTCGTCAGATGGATGACTTTTGTTCTGACCAATGTCCTGGGCCTCTGATTTCAATGGCTCCTGTAACTTGCCGTCCGAAGGAGTGTCTCTTCCTTCCACAGTGCTCACACACATATCGAAAACGGCTTTGTCGGCGCTCTTTTGACAGTCAACATCGCTCAAGCCTGCCTCCACTCCGTGAGCATCTGTGTCTTGCACAAGGACCGATTCCTGTTTGGCGAGGCAATCTTCTTCACCATCTATTTCTTCGGCCTTTCCAACTTCGACGTCGCTGTTACGCCTATCAGAGGGAGTGACGGTCTCTTGCACTGCTATTTCAGGCTTAGACCGAGCCTTGACCGCATCTTCGCGAGATTCATTTTCAACGCCATGGCAATCCGAGCTTCGATCACTGCTGTTATCCACGACGCCTTGTCCAGACATCGACGTCTCGTCATCATTATGCACGAGGGCTTCTTCTGACGGTGCAGGTCTCAGGCTGCTTTGTACAGACATTCTCTTCCAGAGGGTCATTCCGGAGAAGCGCTTTGAGCGTACCGTCGCCGTGTCTGAGCCAGCCATGGCAGTCACATCGGATTCCTTGTCATCCATCAGTCTCGCCGCGGCGGCCCCGTCAAAGACCTTGAATGGTACTGGATGTGCACCGTCACTTGTCTTCTCAGTCGTGTCTCCATGTCTTCCAACTTCCGTATTTCCGGTAGCCCGAGTCGCATCTGAGAATGAATCCTCACTAGCCTCCTGTTTCCTACACTCAGAGGAGCAGCGATAGGAGACCTGGGATGAGCCCGAAACGCTGTTGACCTCGGCCACGTCACCCTTCCCGAGATCCTCCTTATCAGCAGCGCATTGAGTGCCGTCTCCAAGCTCCGGGATGAGCCTTGCTTCCACATTAGCATATTGAGCTTCCCATGCTTGTCTTTCTCGCATGTTATTCTCCTCGAGCCTGCGGGCAACTTCAGCTTCGGCCTCTTCTTTCTTTTTCTCTTCCTCTTTCTTAGCTGCTTCCTCTTTGCGTCGCTTCTCTCTGATCACTTTCCACAGTCTGAGCTGTGACACAACACCTAAGATAGCTACAATCACTGTGACAGCAAGCTCTACCCGGATATTGCGAGTGATTGGGTAGGTTCCAGTGCCAAGCGGGAATACATCTTCGTTGAGTGCTTCATGAAAAGTGAGTAACATTGTAAATGAAAGCAGCGTACGCCACACTTACCCCATATATATAGCCAAAACTCTTTCAGTCCAGCCCGGCTGTAGCAGTCGATTCCCAGCGCGACAGCTGTACCTCCCGAAACACCAGCTGATACTATCAACCCGTGAGGACGCGTGTAATGACTAAAAGACAAGGCGTAAAATGCGACGGAGATCGCGCCGATGAACCCAGCTTTGGCATTGGGGTCCGTGAGAAGTCCTCCCGGCCTCAGGCAAAGAAGCCACATGCTAACACAGAACCCTCCCAAAAGGCATCCAAGTCCTTCGGTCAATTCCTTGAATACAATGGAAAGCGCTCCAAATGTCACTCCCGTGAAGAAAATTGCCACAAGATATGCTCCTTGGACCGCCACGCGCACAGGCGGATTCATCACATATACAATCAAGGCCTGATTTGTCAGTGTACAATAAAACGACTAGGCTCGTCATGCGATAGGCTTACTGTGACTCCTAAGCTTGTAAGAAAGGCGGCAGATAAGAAAACTTGAACCCTGGATCCAATATGTTAGCTCAGAGGACCCTTTACAGACGAGATTCCGACAGTACCATGAATTGCGTATTCCTATCAATGCAAGAATGGCTCCCGTAGCTATAAGGATAAAGCCGCCAACCCCGAACGCTGGAGTCACCCGGGGCTCAAGCGGAAGGGCGCCAGGCGCGGGCGTGACTGTTCCATCTTTTCAAGCTTAGCTTTTAGGATGATTCCAATGAGGGAGGATGCACCCACTCTCAGAAACGGTTGACGTGTTGAGCGACGCGACAGTCGTCGATGCCGGCGCGGTGGTATTTGAAGTGGTTGTAGAGTTCACTCTGACTGTCGCATGGTTTATTGCGCTCGTTGTTGAACCGCTTGGAGCTTGATTGTCTGATATCGTCGTCGTTGGCGATTCGTCTCGGGCTTCTAGAGCACCAACTGCCTGGATTCCAACTCGCCCAACAAGCGGTATCGATGCTGCAAAGACCGGTAGTCTAGATATAATGCAGACAACCAAAGCAATCAGAGGCAGCAACCTCATCTTGACTTTGCGAGGGCGACCCTGTAATGATCTTGAGCGAAATCGACAAAGATAGTTGCCGAACTTAGCAGGCTGGCGACGCTAACGAGTACTTCTGAAATAGTGTCGACAAATCCTTCCAATTGTTCTTCACATACTTTGGCCCGTAAGGTCACCGTGGGCAATGACCATCAAGAAAAACATCAATTGGTCCCAAAGATGCGCTTTACTATGAAGGAAACGTGACCGCCGATATTCGAGAAAGTTGGGAGACGGAAAAGACCCGAGTCTTTCCAGACATATATGTACTGATATCCATCATATCGCGCTTTTCGGCGTGACCACCTGGAAAGTGGAAAGGAGCTCAGATGCTCCGAGAGCTGGCAATAATATTTTGTAGGGATAAACTCCTGAGCCGGTACACAAAAAAAAAAAAAAAAAAAAAAAATCCAAACAAGATTTGATGGACAGCAGACTGGACGCATGGAAAAAGCGAGTTTCCACTGAATGGGGATCAAGGAAAAAGCAAGTAGTTGCAGCGTCGATGGCCATGCATGATAATTGTAATTTTTAGGCAGGGATCTACGATCAGTATCTCGCAAAAGCGATAAAGCCAGAGTGAGCCACGTACCCCGTATGAGGCATGTCCTTGTCAGCGACTCGGCGGTCAAGTACTAGGCTTCTTGGAGACAATTATTCCAAGATTGAGGCATGTTCTTCACTTCTTGTAAAAGAAGGTTAAGGTAATCTGCAAGGAAGGCGTCTCGAATTACCTGAACCTGTGCCTTGGACAATCGAGGGGTCGGCTATAGATGCGTTTGTAACGACAATCATTGAATACCTTTTCAAGGAACTCAAGGTCAACATGGCTTGCTACCACTGTACAAGTGACAATATGTGTCGCGTTAATTTCACATTTCAGGCGGTATGACAGGTTGATTTGAACAGTCAAGAGTAGCGTGGGTAGTCAGAATTCGATTCACAACAACAATGTTATTATAAGATTCGCACAGCAAATGACATGATGATCAGACATATCGGATTCGAGAATGGATGTAGTAGGCATGAAGTTTCATCCTTAGCGAGGACTCAACCCGATTAACCTTTGAGTCCAGTGTGGGCCTTGCAATAATCGTCAGCTCTGTTGATCAGGCTAGTATCACTAGCCTTCATTAGCTCAGGACGATAGGATGATCTGCTGCGCGGAATGACAGGTCTGATCTCTCGGCTCTCTTAGGCGCTGGCACTGCCCATTGAGAAGTGGGCACTCTGCCGGCTTGTCTTCTGATTGTTCGTTAGAATCGTCTTTAATTTCCGAGTTAGTTGTTTTGCAAATGTATTTGAACTTTGAATGTGCTTAGCCGAGTTATCCATTGTTTCCATCGCAGCGTTGCTGAGGTCTGGCTTTTGGCAATCGGTTCTCTGATGTCGAAAACGCCAGGGAAATGCAGAGAAAATCAAGATGAATCGAGATTTCCAGGGTTCGCAGCAGGATAACAATAGTGGGATGCACGGTTGATGCAGAAGGAGTCCGAAAGGGCGGAAGCTGAAGGGCTAGATACTTAGATAGCTTGTACTTGGAGAATCGTGGTTTCACTTACCCCTCCGAAGCTCCCTTCGCGAAAAAGGCACTGGTAGGTAATGCCCTGCATTTGACGTCTCACAGTGGATGTGCGCCAGAAGTCGCCATATCTGGGCTCATTTTACTTACTTCCGCGTTGGAAATCCCTTTTGCTCTGTCCGACGTCTTCGTCATCTGGTGAGCACTTATGGAAGAATGCATGCATAGCTCCATGTTGAAAGAAAATTTAAGTAGACAGATTCGGGTTCTAAAACATTGTTGCTCCGGATAGATCCCACAGAATCAATTCACTCGTCAATGAGTTTGTGAGAAAAAAGCAAGTTCTAGCTCGAAGTAAATGATTAACGAATGTAAGAATAAACAGAAGAGTCCGAGTACATCTCTCCTGTGTATTATCACGTGACTGCAACACGCGCATCATCAACAACGACGAGCTGGGAGAGACTCACTATCGACCATCATTAGCACTTACAAGTTATCATTCTTCCTCGACGTTCCCAACCTATTTATTGCTATCTCAAGCTCAGAATTAACATATCTCACTAACCTGAGCGGAATGTCTGCCTTCAATTCATCACTTCGTCCCCTCCTGCGCGCCTCTTCCGGTGCAGCTCTCTCCGTACGCTCTTTCAGCACCTCCTCGCCGCGCTCAGTTGCACGTATGATCATCACTGGCCGTCTCGCTGCCGAGCCCGAGCTGCACGCCACCTCAAGCGGTCAGGACGTCATCAAGTATGCGGTGGGCACAACCTACGGCAACAAGGATAATCGCCAGACGAGCTGGTTCCGTGTCTCGAGCTTCCAGCCAGAGGGTGCGCAGCGGGATTTTATTCTCAACCTGCCGAAGGGGTGAGTATTTCCGCTTATCACGAAGGAAGCTCTATCTGTATCCGCTCCTGTGCCCCCCAATGCATTATTGGGTTATGGTTGCAGACTGAGAGCAGTTGAAGTCTGATGTTGATCTTTTTTTTATTCTACCAGAACCCTTGTGTACGTTGAAGGCGACGCCACCATGCGCTCGTACGAAGACTCAGAGGGCAAGAGACAGTCCAGCCTGAGCATTGTGCAACGTAAGCCAACTACCCTGTTCATGCACCTCCATCTGGAAAATTCCATACTAATGCATGCCGTGGACAGGGACACTCGAGGTCCTCAAACGCCCGTACAACCCCAACGCTGCTGGTTCTGAAACTTCTTCCCAATAATCGCCTCAGAGGACAAGTGAGGACAGAAGAGAAATGTACGGTGGGCTAAGCTTCTTGGTTACTGTTGGGGATAGAGAGCTCCTCGTTTCTTGTCTGACATCTCCGCTTTGTCGGTGAAGCCGACTGTTGGCCGCCGCTCCATTTGACTTTCACGTATTGTAGTTGCCGTGCTGTACCAGTATACCCTTGAATGACACTACTTTGACCGTCCGCTCTTAAGCGACTTATTTCTCTTATACTGTTGAGTGTTCTCCATTGCAGTGACAAGAGACAAGGATATTACAAGTTTCTGCTAGTGTTGAATGCAATTGATGGACACTGAAAGGATTACCCTTTTTTGGTTGATCTGTGAGCTCTCATGCGAAGAGAGTTATATGGAAAACTGAAGGAAATATATTATGGTGTATCTGCTCTAGTTAATATGATTAAAAGAATGAAACGCAGTGTCAGTCAGAACCAGAGAAAGTCCTATCAGATGCTCACATCGGAGTAATATGTAAACACAATAAGGCACCATGCGTGCCACACTTGCTATGTTTCGGGTGACTGTGAATCGGAGCACTTGTGCCATTAGCGGGTGAAGCTTACACCTGCAGCTCACTCTCTTGACTAATAACTTGCTTAACGCGAATAGTATCCGGTCCAACTGGGGCGCTTGTGAAGTCACTACTTCCACGGCTTTGGCTCGTACCGGCCCAGGCGTTGGTGGATATTGTGGTAGCCGGAACCGAAAATTCCGGGACAGAGGGCGTTGTTTTCCGGATTGAAAGGAATGTGCGGCTCAAGAGAGACCTCGGAAGCGAGAGCCATGTAGAGGGACTCTCTTGCCGGGGCATGGCACCCTTTTCAATATCGTCATGGCTGTAGCTGGCCGTCCCGGTCGTGGTCGAGTCGGTCGTTGTTCTGCGACTGTATTAGCATGAAGAATAATCGTTTGTCAGTGATGACAGGAAATAGCACTTACCCAGTTGCAGACGACTGCTTCCTAGAAAAGAGCAACCTCGCACGACTTGCTGTAGACCCTTCAGTGATGGATGCCGAGGTCCCTTGCGACCAAAGGCGCAAACCAGCAAGACAATTTCCCAAGCCCAGGAGACAAAGGGCGGATTGGTACAGTCTCAAAGCATCGTTGCAGCATCCGAAAAAGATGAAGAGCACGTATCCTGCAGCGATAGGAATCCAGCGGTCAAAGAAGACTTGACCTTGGGCTGGAATCTTGAGGATAATGCTCCATTGTGACTGTGGCCCATGGAGGAGGCTCCATGAGTATGGATGCCAGGGCAAATTGTACGTAAGGTTGCGATAGACAACGTAAGACTGAATTGGCAGAATCGTCATAAGCATGATGAACGCAAGGAAAAATAGACGCAGGAATCGGGACTTGCTCAGATGGCTGTTGGCGGAGTTGAGTATGTCCCCAAACTGGCTTCGATATTTGTGAAGGCGATAAAGGGTCATGCCTGTGTGGTCGTCAGTCATGAGCTGGAGACGGCTGACAGTATCTTGTTCATACCGCAATAGAAAGCAGCCAGAAGGCAGATTATAGGAGGCCAGATGAACGATAGCACAAGGCTCACCCAGCTTTGATCGAAGTTATTGACGCACCCTGAAATACCGAAGATCAGGTACCGGCTCCTTTGGTAGATAATATGTGTAATCATTGCAACCACTGGGATGGCCACACAGAATGAGGTATCCATCAGACGGTTACGCCAACGTTGGCTGTTGTTGGGGACAAGCATAGCACGTCTAGTGTCGAGCACAGAGGCCAAGCTTCGGAAGATGCACACCAGAGTCCCGGGTACGGCAACATAGCTCGCTATCATCACCTTGACCTCGACATCACAAAGACCCTGACCATCCCACCATGAATCGACATCGTCGGTTGGCCAGATAAGCGCATTGATAACGTTAAAGATGTTGAGGATCAGAAACCAGCAAATGAGCGCAGTAGCAGGGAAATTGCGGTTCTTCCAGTGTAAGATGATTGGAGGAATACTGACAACAATCGCAATAGAGGATAGCACGGGGATGGCCACAGCCTGCGTGCTACGTCCTGTTGTAGCTGATTCCATCACGCAAACTGTCTTCTAGAGACAAACACGCTTTGACTTGAAGATTCTGATCGAGATGCCGATGTCGTGCACAAAGGTTTCTTCTGCGGAACTACTCGACGGTGAGTTTCTTGAGGTCCGAAAGCCAGGAGCAATGAGCCAGCACCGCTCAGTTAAAAGAAGAGATCACAAGTCGCATCAGAGGGGGTACACAGGGGAAGAAGCAACCAGAGACAGGAGCAAAAGTTGTATGTTTTATTGAGGACGAAGATCCCGAGCAAAGACTGAGTGTAGATTGCGAAACCCCTTCACTCTCCCTCTCTGCTGAGACAGTCATTTCAGAAAATCTCAGCAGGTGGAGAAGATGCGAATAGACGGCAATGAGCAGAGAAAAAGCAAATGTGTTTGACGCATATAGGGAGGGAGAGCAATGTGATTCAATCAATGATTTCATCCATGACGGTGCCGGGTGGGCTTGTGTCTGGAAATCCACTGCATCTTGAGCAAGAGTCATCACCGGACTATTGAGAAGATCGACTTGAATAAAGAACGGTGAAGACAAAGTCAAACAGAATGGATTGCTTAACCTCATTCAGAGGGTGGTGATGGGTGAAAGAGACACTGGGATATCACCCAGCGGATACTGGAACCATTCCCTTTTTGGGTGTCAATAAGCCCGCTGTTCGCCATCATCAACCGACTCAACACAACCGACTGCTGAGGCCTCTAGTCTGGTCCAATTCTAAGGTCTTCTCCCCCTGGGATGCGGTCAGTCGCTGTGAGACTTCGACCCTTGGTTTCACTGAATGCATACAGCTGCATCTTGTTTCATCTCGAAGGAATGTTTGTATGATGGTCTCGTCGAATCGACATGCGGTTGGAGGCCATCACGAGATCACACGCATCTATCCTGGAATTTGAGAGACGGTACAGGTGTCTTATCTCTGTATTATGTTATCAGGAGTGAGGTAATGCCTACTCCAGGGTGGTATTATATGAAGTTGTCATGACATGGCTAACCCGACATCTCCAAGCGGCTGAGCCTACTAGATGAAAGGAAGGGATGGACCACATAGTCAGGGCAAGAAAACTCTTCAACTTGGAGACACATGGACTTCTGTGGACAAAATTGGTCTTCACGATAAAGTCTGACGAGAATTGACTTCGAATCCCGCATGACTGACGAATCTGATTGTGGGTTACATCGTCGAGCGGTTGCAAATTCAGACTTCCGAGGCTTTGAGAACTGAAGCAACAAGTTCGAATACCCCACACCGGCTACTATGGAAGAGGAGACCTTTCCGTGCAAGCTTTGAGCGAAAGAAAACATCGGTTTAATAAATGCTTCAACGAGTTCAGCGCTTGAGGACTGGAATAACCCCAGAAAGGTGCTTGGCAGGTTATGTTATTGCTTTTTTTGCAGCCCCTTCTGTGGCGCATGTTGTCGCTATTACGTACCTCTGGCGTCCTCCCTCCGCGTGTTCGGTTCACTACAACAAGTCAGGATTCTTGAGACAATCACGACCTTGCAACAGCAGCCAGATGTGGCATGAATTCTGATCTCTCATATCAAACCCTATCTCCCGGCATGAACCTTGTTATATCATGAGCCACATCTGAGTCCCTATCATTCCCAAGATACGTACGGATTGCAGCACCTGATCCGCTATGGTCATGCCAGAACAACCCCGGAGATCGGCTTCACCCCAGGCTCCTATCGAGAGCGCCAAACCCCACTTCCATTCGATCGGGTCCGTGAACCTCCGCCATCGAGGCCCGACCCGTGCTGCAACCTTTGCAGAGGGCTCATCAAGCATCCAGAATCAACGTCGCAATTCAAGCTTTTCTGATTCAGTATCCGAAGCCCGAAATTCGATTCGCTCCTCAACTGATGAGTTATTGTTCCCACGTGTAGTTCAGAAGGGGTACAGTGATTTGCCAAACGAGGAATCGAATTGGCAATCTGCGCCTCTTGGTCTGGCCCTATTGCCTGCTATTGCCGGTGTCTTTTTTAAGAATGGAAGTGCAGTCGTAACAGATATTACTCTGTTGATTCTGGCAGCGATCTTCCTCAATTGGTCAGTGAGACTACCATGGTAAGAGCTACTGCCTCATGCTACTCATTCTATATGCCTCTTCCTAACTGAAGGACTAGGGAATGGTATCGCTCTGCACAGGCGGTGCGACAAGAAGACACATATTATGATCCTGTCAATTCATCGCTAGAACTCGAAACGGATGACAATGAAGCAACCTGTGAAGAGCGAAAGAATGTGACAGACCGAGAGCCTCCAAGGGAGCAACGAGTCTCCAGTGCTGCCAATGAGGCTAGTAGGGAGCTTCAGATCCATGAACTTGTTGCTCTTACATCATGCTTCATCTTACCCATGATCGGGACATGGCTCCTCCATGCTATCAGATCCAAATTGTCGCGGCCATCGGAAGGATTAGTATCGAATTACAACCTTACTATATTCCTACTGGCGTCAGAGATTCGGCCGTTCGCTCACCTGCTGAGGATGGTGCAGGCGCGCACACTCCATCTTCAGCGCATTGTCGCTGCATCTGCCGACGACGAGGAAAAAGTAGACCCGAAAAAGATCAAGGATCTCACCAAGCGACTCGAGGAACTCGAAGCACACGTCGCTGAAGCAGCCGCGGCTCGACTTCCGTCCGAATCATCAAACCACCCACAAGACCTGGAGCAACTTCAAAATCTCATCTCGCAAGCAACCACAGAAGTCCGCAAAGGTTTCCAACCAGAGATCGATGCCTTGAATCGCGCGGTTCGCCGCTACGAGAAACGCACAGCGCTCACTTCATTCCAGACGGAGTCAAAACTCCAAGCGCTCGAAACCCAAATGCACGACGCTATTGCTCTAGCGGCAGCGGCGCATCGCTCCAGCACGCGTCGGCCGTGGGGCACTCTATCAGAATTGTTCAATAGCATCTATGCGATTATCCTCCTCCCAGTACAGATCTTCATGTCTCTGGCAAGTCTGCCGTTTCAGTTATCGGCGCGGTGTTTACAATACTGCAAAGATATACTGCTCTCAAAACCGCCACGAAGATCGAGCAAGGGTAAGGTGCCGCGAGATGTCAGAACCTCCTCTTCAAGTTCAAGGCAGTTCAGAAGGACTCCCCAAAAGGACTTGGGCGGTGGTCAAGCGCTCAAACCAATTCGAGAGTATCAATGGCAAGAGGACGTGCTGTGAGGGAATTTTTTGACTATGGTTGGAAACTTTGATATCATGATACAGGTTTGGCTTCACAGCCCTCGGGGTGTGATTTGGATGTCTACTCATTGACTGATCAATATTGGGACCTATGTTGTTTGTTCTTTCTCTTTTTCTTTACTATCAATGTTCTAGGTTTTACTGGGTTCGGGATTCTAGAAATAAATCTGGACAGGCGATGGCGTCCTCTCAAGAGCATTCTCGAGCTACATTTGTCTTGCTCGATTCCTTGTACCGGTATTAATCAGCCACGAAATACATCCCTTGCAATGATGGGAACCTTGATTCAGTGGGCTTTAACACAAACTACGCGTAATCCTAATGATAAAGTGACAATATGTCTATTGACTCAAAATGATTCCGGCCCTGCATCTTGCAATGCGCAACCAAAATGCCAACGCATGACGACTATATAATCTAACGATGTACTGAGCAGAAGGCATGAAAGCGCACATAATATACAGAAACAGGCCGCCCAGCTCCATTAGTAAAACCCAAGAACCTCCTGTCCGAAGCGCGGATCGCGCGACCGACTTGCGTGAGCAAAGCAAGAAAAGATTATAAGGTGGTTTACGGAGCACCACCCGATGGACCCAGGTTATCAACCCCAGCCGTTTTCAGGAAGGGTTCGATAATACTTCGTTTTCTCTCCTCCAGAGCTCGCCGCTCCTTGTCCTTGCTAGGGACAGTATTGAGGGAAATGAGAGCGGAAGCAAAAATGGAAGATAAAGCGGTTTCGACTGCTAGCCGGCGATGAGTGGTGTTGGCTTGAAGGTCCGATAAGCTGGAGGCTGTTAAGACACGCGGTCGACGTTGGATACTGCCTCCCGGATTGGAGGCTGCTGTTTCGGCTGCGGTCGGACCAGAAGGCTGTCCGCCTTTGGTGAATTGAACACTGTCCCTCTTCTTGTCTTGAGATTGTTGGTTCGATGTTTCAGGCACTGCTGGTGCCGTAGACTGCGACGGGGCAATCTCGTTGACAATGTGGGCGAGCATAAAGGTGACAAATGTGAAGGAGGCGCTGTGAGCGGGGGAGTATGCGAGCGTCTCTAGAACCCATGCCTGAGCTTCATCCAAGGACAGGGGAGGTGACTTGGCCCGTTCACGTGCAACGATCTGCTGTTCCATTTTCTCCCAAGTGGGAGCCGTTACTATTCCATCGCGCAGTGAACGGAGAAAGACTAACAAGGTCTCGCACAGAAGCTCTAATCGGTGAAGCGAGGTTACCTCAGGGGCGAAGATAGACCTGGGATCTTGGTTGGTGTCCAAGGCTTCACGAACTGAAGCCAAATGCGGATTTCGTTGCTCCTTATCCTTCAAGGTCCACGTCTCTGGGTCAAATGGCCATCCGGCACCCTGGTCCTTGGTCCATGGGGGTGACTCTTTGTCGGAATCACCTTTTGTCATCCCCCATTCAGCAATAGCACGTTCAGACAGTTCTGAAATAGCCTCAGTCAGGCGGAAAAGCTCGCGAGGGGCGGATAGGCGGACAGCCTCATCATTATCCCGTTCGTTTCCTGATTTATCCCTTCTCAATAGGCTTCGCGCACCGGCTTCGGGCATCCTGGTAAGTTCCTCCACGCTGCGACCAAAACAGGTAGGTAACCACTGCCCATAAGTAGAGATGAAATGATCGCGACCGTCGGTCACCCGAAGGACAAGGATGTCCTCTAGCTTGAGTTGACCCTCGTTCAGCAAACGAACATGATCGATGTCGTGAACATGTGCTGTTATATCAATGTTGGCGAGCTCCCCGGGAAACAGAGTACGTTCGTTCGTTTTCCTTTTCTTATCTTCCTCACGGTGAGCGGGTGTTTCAATTTTGTACTCCAGCCATGATGGTGTCTTCTGTTCAGTGCCATGATCGGGCCTCTCAAAACGGAAAGTAGCGGGCACGCCACTCGTATTTGCAACTGTGAGTGAGCGGGTGGTGGGTACATCGAAAGCAATATCACCAAAGTCTACCGCATTTGGATCTCTTGTGGACTCTTTGGGAACCTCTCCGTGTACATCGACTACGACTGTCAAGCCAGGTCGCGATTCATTCTCGGCCTTGTCTAGCTCCCGTACAACTTCCTGATAAACCTTGGCCTTCAAATGAGGGTCGACAGCCTCATACTTGATCGTAAAACCAGCAGCCAAAGGCTTGTGGTCCGATGATAGTATACCTTGATGTGACACATAGTATTCGAGCCGACAGCACTCATCCATATCAGATTTGGAAGACACCGAAGCACTGTCGCTCGATTTATCCTTATCTGGGTCGTACTCGTCCCCACTGTCGGCACCATCGACGTTCGGGTCATAGTCAAATAATACGTTCTCATCAGCAGCTGCCTTATCCAAGCCCCTCGCTTTCATCTCTTCATCCCGTTTTCTCGACTGCTCGACTTCATGAACCAACTTTTCGTGCCTCAGTCTGTCGTGGCGTGTCCGGTATAGGATTCGATCGCACCAGCTCGGCCCACGATGCTTCTCACTAGAGTCGAACCTGGCCACACTCCCTACATCATACTTGTATGTCGGTAAGAATGTAATTTCGCCTTCTCGCCATCCATCATGAAAAGCCCTGTCCTTCTCCTGTTGCATACGAAGCTGATCATGGGGCAATAGAGATGCAATAGTGGTTTGTAGCGAAGACGGGTCCGTATGAGGCTCGACTTCCTCGTCGGATAAAGCTGGGAGTGGTTCTTCCGATTCCTTATCGTGTTCGACGCCTACCATTGGTGATGGTGGCACATCTTCGACTTCGTGTGACGGCGTATGTCTCTTGTCATATTCGTTCTCCGTATGCCGAGCGAGCACTTGTCGCACGTCATCTCCCGGAACGTCTTCAAGTCTATAGTTCAGGTCACCAAACCAAAAGGCGAAATCTTCTCTCCCTATACTATCCCCAGGGTCCATTCTCAGACCCTTCTCCGGGTCAATGGGGTCAAATTTAGCGCGTCCAACAATCTGAGACGCATCCCAATTGCGCCGTTCTAAGCTACTCTTATCCGAGCCAGCAGAAAGATGAGAGTTGATAAACACAAGACAAGTCGTTTCACCGAGCATCAGTCGCGTTGCTACTGCGCCTTTATTGCCCATGTAGCCCAAAAGTCCTGTACCCACGTTGGTGGAGCTAACCGAAGATATGCTCTCGACAATGAAAGGAGCCGCATATATCAAAAGCAAGAGTCCCACCAGCTGAGTTTCCGCAACGAGCTGAAACCCCTCCGGGAGAGCTTTCTCAACCGCCGCCTTCCACTTGTTCGATGGCGACGGATCAAGGTATGGCCTCAATGCCTCCGCAGCCGACGAGACATCGACAATCTCTTGTAATCCTAGCACGTAGAGCCCGACCTTCTCCGGCTCGTACGCAGGGAGTTTGAGGAATCCCTTGCGTTTCGGCTGGCCGTCCTGAGCCTCTTTCGAAGCATCCCCAGACCCCCAATCGGTCCCGTCGGACATATCTCGGGGATCGTGCAACTTCAGACCAGAGAGTTGTTCGCATATACCCTTTCGTTGCACAAACCATTTACTGACATCTTCCTCCGTGCCTCGGATAGCAGCCACATTCCATGTGCCGACCTTGACGCGGAGCGTTTGCTGGCGGGTGTACTCGGACTTTCTGGCCCTGACGGCCTTAGGAAGTGCGAACGGGTCATTGCGCTCGTCGCGATAGCGACCGGAGGAGCTGCTGTCACTATCGCTGTGATACCCACCGGGGATTGAAGACACAGGCGGTTGCGACCCCGACTGATCGGTGTTGGAACTCATGCTGTGAGGACCTGACCGGGACACGGCGCATTATTCGAAGGATGGTATATATATATTCCTTATCTGTTCCCAGGTTATGACTCTTAGGGACCAGAAGTCTGCCTCTGAGAGAGGCTCTATTTCCGCAGCACGACGCGCAAAGAGAGGTAGGGAAGTAACAGGGGCGTCGTGTGACAGTCTAGGTCATCGGGACAGTCTTGAATGCGTCTTGCGGTCGATCAGGAACCGGCAAATTGTGCCTGCGTCACGAGATGTCTAGCCGTGTGCGGGGGTCTGAGTGCGGAGGGAGAGAAGAAGACGACGCAGCGGCAATGGGATGGATGGCGGTAGGTGGTCGATACGAATGACGACAGGCGATGGCAAGAAGGGAATTGAAGCGGTCCTTGGATGGCGGAACTATAATTCTGTCCAAGCAAAAGTTCGGTATATAACAACATCAATAGAAAGATGCGATTTGATGCTAAAGCTGAGCTTGAGCGCAACACAGCAGAAAAGCGTGCAGAATTGATCAGGAATGATGGATGCGTAGGTGCTCGGCTTGACCTGTTCGCGGGGTTCAGCTTCTCTCTTTATCTTCTCCATCAACGTCACCAATATTCCGCGTCCAGCAATCTTCTCGATTAGCTACCTCCATCTCTCCCTGCAGCCAGACTCTAAACTGATCTATTCTCGATTCTCTATTAAGGCGAGTCAACAGGGACAACTGTATGCAGATTCTACTCCACTACACATATTCTCACAATGACGACCCGCAAACCCCGACGATCAAACAATGGCAACGGCAACAATCACCGTCACAATCAGCATTGCACACAACCCTCTGACTATGAATCTGACTACCCAAACTACTTTTCCGACACGCAACAACAGCAAGAACAGCCTATGCCTCCCCCACCGTTGCGCTCCAACGAGGAGCTGAACCTCTCCGTCCTCCGCCGCCATAACCCGTCCGTGAACTCGATTTTGTCTCTCGCACCATACGCAGTGGTTTACTTGTTCAACCCGACGACCCGACAGTGGGAAAAAAGCGGTGTGGAGGGGTCACTCTTTGTCTGTCAGCTAGTACAAGGGAGTCTAGGCGAGGAACGATACAGCGTCTTCGTGCTGAACCGACGCGGCCTGAACAACTTTGATATTCTGTTGACGGACGGGGATAACGTGGAGCTTACGGAAGAATATGTCATCATCAAATCCGACTACGACCTGGGCACAGACCAAGT